TCATAACGCTTGCGGCTCACAAGGGGGTCAGCCAAGGTATCCTACTATCTCAAGCGCGTGCACTAGCCCTAACCCCTGCCCAAGTAGTTCCATAATCACCTGATTAGATATTCACGGGAGAGGGGGAGGGGCGTTTAGAAGATAGCTCCCATAGCTATCTCAACGATACTTCCCATTCCAGGAGGGCCAGAGACTATGTGGTTAACCCCCACACTTCCTCCTGCTTAATTTCCTTTATCCTGAGAATCGTATTTGTGCTCGTGGCAACCGCTGAAATTACTTATAGTTTTGTTAAATTTCCCGCCGAATAGCCTTTTATTTCTTGGCCCCCCTAGTCCAATATTCTCAGATCTTATAGCCTGGGTGGCTGAGTGGGAGGTTTACATAAGCTCAAACACCCAACGGGGTCGGAAACAATAGGGTAGATTAGTTGATTAGTTTTTTTCTTCAAATCTTACGTTTAGGGACTCGCCACGGCCATAGCCCAAGATACAAATGTAAATACCCCCCAACAGTTTGCATAACAATATACTGCCTTATCGGTCGTTTATGCCTCCTACTACAGTATTCGCCCTCAAATGGCCATCAACAAGACCCAACAGAACCCGGTGGATTCAGTCCGCAGGAGGTCACGGCCTATCTACTACATCCAATATCTGCGTATCGCCCGTGAGTCGAGCTGGCTAAGATCAACCTCCTACACAGAAACCAACCAAAATTGGCCAGTTGGGTTGAAGGGCAAATGACCAACAATGTGGACGAGTTCAAAGTTACCAGCTAAGCTATCATACCCACCCACCACAACCAGCAAGCCTAAAAGCTCACGAGTCTGGCACAGTATATTGTAATCTTTCCTGGTTTTTCATAAATAATATCGCAGCATATCTCCCGAGTTGAGGTCAACCTTTCTAATGAGGTTTGTAACTACACTAAATAACTTTCTCGCAGGAAGAGTAAAGTCCATTTCGGTAAAGGCCAGTTGAGGCACCAGGAATCTTGTGTTGGAGGAGGGGTCTCAGGGGTCTTCGGACTCCCTCCTAATACATACCATACTCGGAATCATATTGCAGCAATTTCCGGAATATCCCCCGTGAGATGATGGAAACCCCACACCATAGATTCTGGTGTGTGATATAATACTCACGCGGGTGTGGTAGAAATCAGATTCGTAGGGAGTGGAAGCGAAAATGTGAAGAGAATAAAGATTTAGGGTAGATTGTCCGTAGATTGTCCGTACAAAAGGCAGGTATTGTTGTCTCAAGAATCTATCGGCCTCTAGCACCTAAGACCATAGTACTTACATCTATGAGAGGTATCTATACACAGAAACAGGAGTGCAAACATTTCATTTCCAACAGACTTTCGTCATTTCGAAGCATTATCCAAACACGCAGACCAGGGCAAACATTGAGTGATATTTTATGAAGCAAGAATCCAGCCACGAACCTCACCACCTACAACCAAGCACCCGGCCCGCCAAAAGAATCTAGGCAAGCAAGCAACCAATACCACGCTCACGCGAAAGCATGCACCACCCTTCCTCTTCTAAAAACCACATTTTACCTCTCTGGCTTGGCCTGCGTGCACACAAGTGGCACAGCCAGAGGTACCGGGAGCCCAAATATGCGCATTGGGACGAATATCACACTAGTCCACGCAGCCCGCCCGGAAGGACCTTATAAAGTGTAGTAGGCAGTCGGTGTAGTTTAGGTCACTCGCACTAGGGCTATGGTGTTGCTATCATACTCTGCTAGACCTGAGTACTTCTGCTGAGCCTGAGAAAAGGATTATGCTTCATGGGTTTCCAAGGGGGTCGTGCAGGTTTTTTTTTTTGAGAGAGAGAGGGTTAGGAGAAGATACTGTAGTGGGTTTTAATATTTGATATAGGGGGAGAAGCGGGAATAGATTTCTACATGTTGTAATAACCTACACCGGAGATGCCATATCTGCCCCACTGGGGTATGACAGGAAGTATCAGAAATCAACACGAGTATCCGCGGGATCCGCAGATAGTCCATCTCTAGCTAAACTGCTTTACCTCCACCACCCACCGTGCTCTAAAACTCCTTTCCTCCAGTTTCCTTGTCCCCCCGACTAGGAGTAGGACACCACCGCCACTCCCCTTCCCCCTTCCCCCTCCCCCTCCTAACTCCCCCTTCAATAAAAAACCAAAAGTATCCTTAAAACGCACTGACTCACCACGCAAAACCACCTGTCGCGATGTAGACCATATCCTCTGCGAGACCCGCCACTTCAACATTCAAGAGGACTTCAACCACCGTTCCCTAGACACCAACCCCCCGCATCCCAAAGATTCCCTGGGTAGGATCATGGACGATTATCCGGACATTTGCTTCGGTACGGAGCTAGCTCGGTATAAATGCTTCTACCACAACCTCGAAGAAATACGCAGCGAATTGGAGGGGCGGAAGGTGCGATGGGAGGTAGAAGGAATATAAACAAGCATTGGAGATGGTGGGTAAGTTACCGATCATTTTGGAGATCCTGACAGAGCAAGCATGTAAACACGTAATATTAGAACCGAAGAATTACCCCCCCCCCAGATGGGTTACTTTATTATCATACAAGTACAGTACTCTATCAACCTCTCACCCCACAAACATAGCAGCCAATCCTAAAACTCTGCACGACCACACTCCAAGCCCCCCCGCCTACCCACTAACACACCTAGTCACCCGTGCATCCCGATCACCACCACAATGCCATGGACTAGGTGGTCTCGCGCAGGCGCACGTAGACTATATCGGCAAAGTATTTACCGTAGCAGTAGATAGTAAAGTCACACTGCACGAGTTTGAGAGAGTGGACAAGACTGTAGAGCTACCGGCATCCCACTCACCCATCGCCCCCGCCACAAGGATATCTCGAGCATGATATCTTCGTGACGAGAGGGCGATGGTTCGAGAGTTTCGTTGGGGGGGTGGTGAAGTTGTGGATTGGATGCCGAGAGGGTATCACTCCCCCGCTAGCCTAGCTTTGGGATGTTCTAATTTTCACAAAGAATAACGGGGGGAGCCATAGCCGATGCAGATACCGGTATGTATGACACTTTCGCTTTGATCACCATCGCGGCTGTTCTCTAAAGACCCTCCTCAAGGCCTCCGATAACTCCCGCACGCGAGCGGTAAACTAGACAGATTACTCCTATCACACTTCCGACTACAGTGACTACAAGTACGGAGATGCCGTCCGGCAGTGGGCAAACCTTCAGAAAGGCCTAGGCCTGAAAGCCCCCACTCTCACAGGGGCGGGCTAACGGACGGTCATTGTCTAATAATCCACTATGGTACCCCCTGCCTGGGTTCGACAACGTGATCGCCAGGAAAGTCCGCAAACCCCACAGCCGGGGAGGGCAAGACACAAACAGCCGAAACGATATCACAACACTCCCTCTCCAGGGGAGAATCAAGCAACACCCCAGGAGAACTCCCCACAACCCCTGAACCAATACCGGTATTTGTACTAGACTCAGTAACAACCCCGAAAGCAATCCCTCCTCCAGGAAGAAGTAGACGCGCTCCTGCCCAGAAGCGCGGGAGACCTCAAGAGGAGCCGAGCCGATTCTTCCCGACATCCACCAGACTCCTGGACGGGTAGCAGAGCACCATCGCCTTCCACCATCGACGACGCGACAAAGTCCCATGCACATGCCCTTCTCAAATACCAGAGAGAATCGGGATTTCCCCAGGCGCGGCGGGGTCGGGGGGCATGCTCACGTGCCGGGTAAATGGATCCTTCTGCCGTGGAAATACCGTGCCGGACGAACTATCGTAACGGGGAACGCGTCGACGGGGGATGATACGAGCCTGCACAGGACGCGGCCGCCGTAGCGCGCGGCGGGATTGCGGAGCAGAGGAGGAGGGATTGGTGGGGGGGTGGAGGATTCGTACTGTCCTGTGAACGAAACAGAAGGGGAAGTGAGGGTCTGAGTACGGTACCATACGTAAGCAGACGATGAGATCTACCGTACCCCTTCGACCCAACAACCTTCCTCCCTCCAGCCCGCGTTGTCGGACTACCGTAGTTTGAAGTAGCGAAGCATCCTCACTTTATCCCGTCAATCGCATCCCGTGTCCAGAACGTACCGTATTCGTACTGACACCTAAACCTCGTACAGTACTATTACGCCAATAAACTACGAGTAATCCGTTTCAAAACTTCATCAGCCCCACCACACCTGACACACAACCCTAACCCTTCACTACTGTACTCCCTGCGCCAACCATACCAGCAGCTTGATAATACCGTAGCGGCAATACTCGTATAAATCCGCAACAGAGCATGCCGGTACAATATCAGTAAACAGGAAAAGGAAAAGGGAAAAATCCTGCTGCATGGGAAAACCAAAAGCCCGTGTTATACCGGCAGTGTAAGAGGTATAGTACTGTGCTTAGCCGTACCTTCCGATGCAGGTGGAATTCCAAATACTGTGCTGTACTGTACTGTACTTGTATGTGGGGTATGGGAGAGAAGGAGAGAAGGAGGGAAGGAGGGAAGGAGGGAGGGGGTGTGTTGCTGTCACTGCTATGATATTATGGCAGGTCGTGCCTCGGTATCTATCATAGGGCAGAAAGTGATAACACTGTACAAGTATAAATATCTAAATCCACTACGATATGATATGATGATTATTATAGTGTGTATAATATGCTTCGCTCAAATCACGTTATCGGTACAAATATCGGTAGGGATACAGTTTGATTCTAAGAATAATTGCAAACGACGGTGAACCAAGAAGTTAACCCTGTCTCCTGGCAAGGGTATCTATCACACTTTGTCCTCGAGTACCGGTACCGCACCTGAACGAGCACCCACTGGTACGGCACTGTACGAGTATAGTACCGAGCCGAAGCGAAGGAATCCATGGTATGATGGGGGGTTTACGGTTTCATAAGGATGTTTGTTCGGGGGAGGGGGGCCAAACCGCCTTCTATTGTGAGGTTACACTGAGAATGTGGGCCCGTTAGGGGTACAGCATGGGGGGTTCAAAGTTCAGCCGTGCATCGGGATAAAATACAGAGACTGCTTTTCGGCAGGTGAGTTGGAAACAAAGTAAGGAGTAGGTTGGAGGTGCGTAAAGAAAGTATAGTAAGAAAGGGATCGCGACGGGGAGAATGGATGAATAAACGCCCTTCCTGGATGCCACGCGATAAAGAGAGGAATACCGTAATTGGAGTTGCGGTATAGTACCGGTACTGTACCGCCTGCGGTTGAAAAATTGGAAAACGTGGAAAAAAGCTTCTGTAGTTTTGGATTGCAGATTGGAGCGTTCAGCTGGCTCGGGCCAATTGAGCGACCGTGTTTCTAACTTTTTGATTTCCACATCTTCCGATTCCTTCAACCGCGGGCTGTACTGTACCTGTACCAGTACGAGTACCGGTACTTGTTACAGGCAGTGAGGTCAGTCCTAAAAATATTCGACTTCAAATTCTGCATGGGCGCACTGATGGCACCAACAATCGACGATACAGGTACGAGTACCGGTACATTCGTTCAATCCCTGTCATCGGGTTGTCGCCTGTAACAAGTGGGGAAGGGGTAAGGAAAGGGAAAAAAAGGAAAAAAAAGGAAAAAAAAGAGAATGAGCCTATTCCCACAAGGTACTCTAGCGATTCAGCTCAATATGCCATGCCCCTCCCTTGCGAACTATTCCCTACGAAACTCTGACCCTCGACTGAGATTCCTAGCCCTAAGCTTTCCACGGATGAATCGCTTCCTTTTCGATCCCGATGCCGCCCATGTGACGAGGGGGAAGTGGGCGCTGCCTCTCCCACTCGTACTGTGCCGGAGAAGCGCACTATTGTATCCCTCGGCCTTTGCCCCTCTTCCACCGATGACACCTCCAGTTCTGACTTTCTAGGACCGATAATCATTCTCCTACTATGAGCCAACCGGCCAAGCGGTGCAGTCCCCAATAATAATCCCACTTTTTCACCTTCAGCGCCGGGGCCCTTCTCTAGCTCCTCGCACTCCCGAATCTCCAGCAGTCGCCTTCTGTAGTCCATGCCCCAGAGAGCGACTATGATACCAGCGTACGACATTAAGGTGTAAGCGATCCCCCAGGGTAGTATCTCGCCCGCACGTGTTCTTCTTCTTAGCAGGCAGTTATCTATTTGTGTTTTTGTTGCTTGGCGAACAGGAGCGTCACGGTCAAATGCTGGGCCGGTGCTTGTGGTCTTTTCACTACACCTCGTGAAGGATCTGTCGCGAAGATGGAAGTAGAAGTATAACCATAGGACTGATGTCAAGAGCAGGAGTATGGTTATGAGGATCCAGGTGAGGGTGAAGAATAGTGCTGCGGTCGGTGAGCGGCGCCATTTCCCCCACATCAAGATGAAGCCAAAGAAGCAGGTTGCGAATAAGATGACGCCCCAAATGCAGTGGAATATTATCATATAAGAAAAAATCGTTAGGTTGTCGCGACCCATCACTCCCTTCCGCTCTAGTATATTTCAAAATCAGAATGCACAATAAAATTGAATAACCCAGATCTTGGGGGAAAACATACGTATGAGCCGATTTATGGACCACAGCAGCGATGATAGTGCCAGTATCATTCCAGTTGCCAAAATTATCTTCGCGTAAATGTCCAGCGGAACCCCACAAGAGAGCACTCTCGCCACCCTCCAACCCCGGCCTTTTCTCCTGCCAGCAGTAGTGTGCTCCTCTCCATTCGCACCTCTATCTGCATCCCCTGCTCTGGCCTGCCCGGCCAGAGTACTATCTCTCGGCGGATTCGCGGGATCGAAGCCGATATACAAAGGATTTCCGGCATCAAGGTGTCTTTGTATCTTCCTCCCCAAAGAGTCATTCGATGGCGTCGACGAGTGGTGCTTCAAAAATGGAGGGCGGGGAGGATTAAACTCTTTTTCTCTGGAGGCCAGCGGACCACCGCCGTCGGCCCTCCCGCGGAATGGCGTCATGAGTTTCGATATGAACGTATTTATCGCCGTCGGCAGTGTCGACCTGGACACTGAGGTATTGATAACCAGCTCAGGATTGTGTGCAAAAGTAGACGAGAGCCGTCCCGGGTATTAGTTATAGTAAGTATTAAAATATTACTCCGAAACCAGCACCCACCCTATAGGTGGTTGAAATGTCAAAAAGAGGTATGTCAGGCGCAGCCCGCAGTGATGAAGCGAAAGCAATGGAGTGAGAATGAAAGGGAAGGCGAGGCCTCGACAGAAAAAAATTCTTTGAGGGGAAAATCTCGAGTCATGGGCCCAATGCTACCCTAGTTACCCTGGCCTCAGTAGGTGTCTCAAAGATGGAAAGCCAATCTACATTGAGCTTTTGTGCATCCTTAGAGCAATACCAGACCCGGTCCCAAAACGTCACCAGGAGTCGAATGGGGGGGGGGGAGGGGGGAATATCATAGCGGTCGAAGGGGCGGAAAGAAATTTAAAAGGGAGAGAGACCTGAGCTATAATGTAAGGAATATACCTCTATAGCGCTAAAGACCTAGCCCCCAACGAGGGGAGTCGGAGTTCGAATGCAACATCCAGTTGAATGCCCGAGCGCTGACCTGCATATTAATGTGGTATCTGCCACTTTGAAACGCTACATGAGGCAAAGCACACTGGGCGAACTAACGACGACCAACAGAGTATGTGCTACAGCGACAACCCCGATCCTGGTTACCACGAGAGCTTCCAGAAGCCTAATGCGGTAGAACCCCCCTTCATGCGGTGTTCGCGAAACCTAATCCTGATTCTTCAGAGATGATGTTACTTAAAAATGTCGCGATAAAAAATCCCCAAAGGCCATAGCGAGCGCCAGGGCAAAATAATTCACTGGCACCGTGGAGCGAATCCGGCGGAGCAATGAGCTGTGGGGAAGTCGTTCCCCTTGGGTGAAATACCCACTGCGAGTGCAATTGTACCAGGATCGGCATGGGAATCATGATACTAGTAAACGGCTGTTGAGTGGCTGCTCCCTAGATTTGCTATTTCGTATTGAGAAGTAATCTCTCCAGCGGGAACCAATCAGACGATTCGAAACGACGTGCCTGAGATCTCCCTGGGTTACCTACCACCTTTTCCTACGGTATTCGCGACCCGTAACAAGGGCTTAGTGGGGGTGGATGACCACAGCGCCAACCATCCGTGGCAGCATAATTCCGCAGAGGCGCCTGCCTAAAAGTCCACACCTGCTTGATCATGAGTTGCGGCATGTTTCTTCCTCAAGCAAGCCCAGATAGGCTTGCAAGGAGACCCCTACCTAATATCCATGCGGCGCCAAGAGAAAGCAAAGTAAAGTAATAGTACTAGTACAATAGCAAGAAATGGACAAGTGGTACATCAAGTCCAAGAGGAGTACCGGTACCGTAGTCCTTAAAACCCTTCCCCCATCCAAAGTGATTAAAGCGTAGGGAGCTAGTAGGAAGCGCGACGTTCAAAACAAAGTCAGTACAGGCAGGCAAGCGATGTTTGCGCGGACGTGTTCGATTACCGCAACGGGGAAGCAACAAACATGACATGGATTACACTGTCGTTCGTATTCTAGATACTTAGTGTGCAGTACGATACTCGTATTGCACAAGTACGAGTACAAGTACTATTGCTCGAGTACAGTACAACCGTCGTACAGTCTGTCAACTGTGGAATTTGAGTAACCTGGCCTTTTGGCCGGATTTGCGTGCCAGGGATCTGGGCGCCTGTCCGCATGATTACGGAGAATTCCTGCCTTACACTTGAGATTCCGGTATGCCCAGATAATGCGGTCCATCACGAATACCGCAGCTGCCAGGCAGGTTTTGAAGGTGCAACGTTCTACAATTATCAGCTTCACCTCCCCCCTTCGGGGTGTTATTTAGCCATTACCGATACCTGGCGATAGCGATCATTGTTATCGTCGGCTCAAATTACCATACTCCCAGCCCACAGTGGTGGGCAGATATAAAAACCAGCACTGAATTCAGCTTTTCAGCAAGACACCCATCGGGAATTGAACATACAAAGCTCCCATCCATCCAATCCCTTCTCAAAGATAGTTCCCCTTCTCAGACTCCTTCCCCTCCTGGGCGCTCTTCCTCTGCTCCTTCCGCGCATCCGCCCTCCTCTTCGCCAGAACTGACGCCCGTCTCCGCTCCCCCCCATCAACTTTGACCCCCCTCTTGTGCTCTTTGAGCACGACATCCCCGTTGAGAACCCTATACCTCTCCCTCCAGTGCAGGATGTACCTCCTATCCCTCGGCGGCTCAACCCCCAAATTCCGCAGCTGCCCGGAGGTCAGGGAGAAGAACTGCTCCCACGTCTCGAACTTTGGCGCGTGCTGGATCGTGTTCCGCCCGATTTGCCTGAGGAATGCGGGCACGTCTGGCGTCCTACTGGTTGTCGCGGGTACAGGTGGTGGTGGGAGGGAGTCGTGGAGGCAGCGGGTGAAGGTGAGGGCCCGGGTCGAGGGGAGAAGGAGGAGGCAGCGAGCGGTAAACATCTTTTTTTGTACGGTGGACCGGGTGGTTTTTGTCAAGACCTCGCTTGGTGAAAATGGTGGGATGTGTTGACTTTTTTCTTCCCCCCCTCTCAGGTGTCCAAGCCACACTAAACCCAAACAGATTTAGCGCCTATTTGAGCCTCGGTTTCAAAAAACCCTAACCCTGCTTATCACTCGCCCTGAACGCCTGATAGTCCATTGTATGCAGTTACCCAACCGCGCTCCAAAGCCCTTCCCACCTCCAGCCCATTAACCGGCTATCCAGACGTCACCCATAGATGTCATATTGTAGCCCAGTCGCCAATATTTTCCCTTGCGATCTCACACCAGGCATTAACCCAAACCCCCTACTGTATATACAAGCAATACCAAAGCACGCGCAACCAACCAACCCAAGGAAGAAGAGAAAAGAAAAAGAAAAAAAAGTAAAGAAAACTCATCAACTCGTATCCATCCATCCGACCAGACAAGTGCAAGAACACCATACCTCGTATTTATCGCTTTATACCGGAAACGATAAGCAGCGGATCAGCCGCCGCCATCTGAACACGAGTTCTTTTACAGTACTGTGCCAGTTTCGCCATAGAGGGATAAGGTAGAGCTATATTCGCACCGCCGAGTTGAGTTGCGTAAGTGAGGTTTGGGGGGGCGGGGCTGAGCTGAGCTGAAGCGGGATTGAGAACTTTGTTTGTCAGTAAGTGAGTGAGTGTGTTTGTGAATAGGGTTTTGTGTTTTGTTTTGTTTTGTCTTGTTTTGCTTACTTTTTTTGCCTTGTAAAGCCTTCTTGAACGGGACCTTTGGCCATGTGTATGGTACAGTGCCTCACAGAGTGTAGTAGTCAGTAATACCCTTCTTACAAGCATGGACGTGCCAACGAGTTTTGGGGCCTTTTTCCCTTTTTCCCTTTTTCCCAATAGGCTAGAGTACCTACTGTCACATATTATCACTCGCAAATGATCATGTCATTTGGACTATATGTTTTTGTTTTTTTCTTTTAATTGCCTGAAACGGTAGTCAATGAATATGTACGGGTACTAGTACAGTACCGCATTTGCCCCCACTACCCGACAGGGAAGCGTACTCGAGTACACTGTACTGTGCAGGCATATCGCTAACGCTTATCGCAATATTACTTATTCAATGCTATACCAAAGAGTTTCGTAGCATTCGGAACACATTAATGCTAATGCCGCCCCGGCAGGCCGAAAAGCGCGGACAATCGGCGGTACCATGATTTCTAGGTATCTTTGAAATTGCGGGGTCGGCTGTAAAGCTATCATATGTCTACCACTCACTCACTATCTACCGTCGCTGAAGAGCCCTTGTGAAGAAAAGAAAAGAAAAGAAAGAAAAAGAACAAATGGAAATTGCCCCGAGACGTAATGCCATGGGACTATTTTTTTTTAAGGAATAAAAGTGTTTGGAATCTATGGAAGGGATACATGCCCACTCGATGATACGAAAATGCCTTCTGCCTCCCGAGTTGTGTAAATGTGCACGGGTGAGGAGGAGAGCGTAGATTGATCTATTGCTCTAGGGGCTTGGTGAGGCCGATGTAGTTCATGAAGCGTTTCTGGCGGTCGGAATACGCTCCATGAGTCGACAAATCGAGTGCTAGGAGGAGTTTATTGATTGACCAGCCTATACCGTCGTGCTTAGTACAGATCTCTCACACCTTGGTACAAGCTCAGAACCCCATACCTTTAAGTTTCCCAATCTCTGCTCCAGTTTTCGGAAAGTCGGGGATCAATTCACCATCCGATCCATACAGTGGCTCGAGAGCCATGGTGGAAACAGTGATCTGGCTGTTCTTGGTGCGGGCGAGATTGTTCTTAAAGCTGGTATAGGACAGAAAGATTGATTCAGTTACCCATCACACGCAGTACAGTAAAAAGTGAGGGCAAGCTCACTGAAACGAGGCCTCCGCCTGAATGGCCTTCATGTCATTCTCCGAAAGCCACGAACTGGTATGCCTATCAATTCGCCCACGCCTACTATGAACCCAGAGAGAAATCTGTTGGAACCGGTGGAGGGCGCCTGGGGTGCGTTGAGGGTAGACATCCTCGAGGCCCGGGACTCGCTCCCTAAGTTGCCGGTACATCTCCTGGTAGCTCTCGTCCATCATCCGGTATTGGCTCGCAAAGTCTCGGCGAAGGAAACTAGGGTCCGCCCGACCCAACGCCCCCCAAGTCCTCCTCATCCTCCACTCCCTGTAGACCACGACCGCTCTTCTGAACCACATGAACCTCATTAGGAAGCGGACGATAAACCACCCAGGGTATGGAGGGTCGTAAATCTGTTGTATTTGGCGGTTGAACTCCGCTGCAATGTCATGATTCCCGGCATAGAGATTGGCTCCAGGCATAGCAACAAGGGCAGCAACGACAGGATCAGCAATATTAGCAGCAATCGCAGCATTCGCAGCAATCGCAGCATTCGCAGCATTCGCAGCATTCGCAGCATTCGCAGCATTCGCAGCATTCGCAGCATTCGCAGCATTCGCAGCATTAGCAGCATTAGCAGCATTAGCAGCATTAGCAACATTCGCAGCATTCGCAGCATTAGCAGCATTAGCAGCATTAGCAGCATTAGCAACATTCGCAGCATTAGCAGCATTAGCAGTATTCGCAGCATTCGCGACATTCACGAAATCCGCCGCATCCGCAATATTCGGAATATTCGCAGCACCCACAACACCCAGAGCATCCAGGGCATTCACAGCGTTGACATCTTCATCCGACATTGTAATAAGGTTTGGCCCTTGGAAACACGACATGATGTGATGTGAGGTGGTCCGGAAATTTCTTGTTGGTAGAAGGAAGGAAGGAAGGAAGGAAGGATGGATGGATGGATGGATGGATGGATGGATGGATGGATGGATGGGTCTTGGTTGACCGTGGAGCACCGGTGGGAGCCTCTGATATACGAGTCCCAGACACCGCAAATTTCGCAGTCCGAAAGACCTATGGTCTAATCAGGTCTCGCACACACTTCCTTTTTTTTCTTTTCTTTTCTTCCTTCTGCCCTAACGTCTCCTACCGAGCAATGGGGGGGTAGGAGGAAGGAGGAAGAAATGCCTTTCTTCCTGCAGTATGGGCCGTGCCCCCCCCGGGGGAAGACTAAAAGCTAGTAGTACCAGGTTCAATTATTTCAGTTTTCATCGGACTCGGCGCATGGTGGGGGGATTTTTGCGCCATCGGATACCAAAAACAGCTGATTCTGATCACTCCCAACTCACCCGAATGTAAATGATATAGAATTGGTAAACCCGGTGCTATAGCGTAGGCAATTCCCTAGACTTTCTGGGAAAAAAATAGGAGAATCTTCCCACTCCACTACGGGTGCTGAGAGCTTAAAGTCTAGATTGGATGATGTCGCAATGTACCTTTTGCATGGGAAACTCATATATAAAATCTGGGGTATCATACCTTTGACCTGCTGTTGTTATTTCTGGCATTGGGCCATGGGCACCGACTAAGGGAGGTAGTCACATAGGAATGAGAATATCCAAATGGCTCTAAAGGCTGAAGTGGATTTTCATATATTGTTTTTTTTTCCTTTTCATTTTTGGTGTAAAAGTGGAGTAGGGGGGAGGGGGCACGAATTTTGTCCTTAGAATCGTACATCGTTGATTCATTCACAATCACTCGCTCTGCTGGTACTCAAAGGTAGCTATCTATTATATCACACGCAGGCGCATCAGGTTTATACCAACAAAACCACCAGACTAAAGTACAGCGCTCCGGTAAATTCTGTTTACAAACTCTTGTTGAAAAAAAAAAAAGGTGTCATAAAAAGAGAGGAAGAAAGAATACCATATGGGACTCATCATAGGTAAAATATCATGATATAATTGGAAGTCTGGTTCTGGGCGTGGCAGTCAACCTGGGAGACACGGCCAGATTGTGAGTGACCGGACGTGACGCGGCGCTGATATGGTACTACCCCCCAAGGTACTCCGGGTCATTCTCAATAGGATATACTGGGAAACTTGTAAAATTGAATCAAATGCCGGTTGAGATGCTTTGAACCAGATTAGCATGGAATTTAATGGCAAATATTACTTGGAGTGCCCCTCAAGCATACTTATTAGTTTGCGAGGGTACGACGGCCTTCGGCTGCCCTGCCGACTTATCTTGGGTCATATCTGATAATCGGAAATGAGAAGCTCTCGCGGGTTGAATGGTGAAAGATCTATGATGGACTTCTGGATTAGATAGTTAGCTCTCGGGAGCAAAAGTTGGGCCGTGGGCGGGTGACTAAGCCTGTGTGAATCGTGTTTGGGTTCGTGGATTACAGGTCACTATACTTGTATAGGGCCTACCTTATAGCGCACCCATGCCAGGGACGTCCATATTGTGTACAGTACAGTTCACTACATAGCGGATGGAGAAAGATTCTGCATGGATACAAACATCCAATATTTACAGTACGCCCTCGTCCCCACATCTATTAACCAAATCGCTGAGGGTGGCCGAAAATCTAGGAAAAGAAAGTTACTCCCGCAAGTTAGTAGAAGAATCCCTCCAGGGCCCTTCTCCGCTCTCCCATTTTTAAATCTTAGGTAAAACACCCTCTCCCCTGTTTATTCCCTTCGGCGGCGGATAACGTCATCCCGCTATCCGTCCTGCCGGGTTATCTCCATGTCCCTCTGCGCTCTTGAAAAAAAAAAAACGCACGTTTGCGCCCTCATGTTGGCTGCATTGGTTGTTAGTACAAGTATCGGAACTTGTTACTGAGTACCCCGGTCGACTAACCTGGTACTGTAGAAACGCCAAACCCTAACCACCATATTCCAAGTAATATTATTTTTCATTTCCAATGATCCTAGTTCATGGGGAGCTTACCATAACCCGCTCCTCGAGTGAGAAATTGAGAACCTTTCATCTGATATGTGCACAAATAGACGTGGCTTTTTGTTTGCCTCTTGTGCTCCAGATGACACAAAATTTTGTTAACTACCCATAGGTCTGCTATCCTCTCCGGTGATTTGATCGATGTTGGTGACTCGAAGCAACAAAAGCAATTTTAGAGTACCCGGCTACGCGTCGTAAATGCGACCGGTAGGTCGGACAACCCACCGAGAGTCGGCCAATAAATGGGCAGGCGGTTCAAACAAAGCTTGGAGAGTTCTCCGCTGTGTAATCCTCTCCGGAGAAGTGGATTCTTCCCAGCTACGGGAAAAACTTTGAACGTCAAACTGATGGCCAATCTTTATGGATCGTAGTTCGATGTCGATCCAGAACCTCTCCTTCGACAGTGCGAGACCCTCTCGCACAAGAAATTCATCACTCCCAACTCGGAGAATCACACAAAGGATCTCCTGTCAACATGGGGACGCCAGCTTTCTTTCAGCTGATCGGGGCGCGTATTCGGAGATGGTCTTCCTCATCATGGTTGGAGCTTCACCGATCCGCACCCGCCTGGCTTTGTGGGTTGCCCTCTGTCCGAGGGACTGGTGCGCGGTTCGTGATCCTCTACCTCCGTGCCAAAATCGGAGAGATTGTCAAGGCACTAAGCTGGAGCGTCACAGCCTACGGGCTATTTCAGATGAGCAGCATAGGGGATATGGGAAACTTCTGCTTTAGTATATATCAAAACCATGCTAGGATCATCCCGCCTATTTTTTTGCACTAAAAAGCCAACTCAGAAAAACACCAGCGAAACCAGTATGGCCCTTGAATCCAGGCCATGGTGGTTCAATTCTTGTGCGGATATTATGGTTCCTACATCGACCTCCTCTCACCCCCACCCTTTCTCGGGTGGGAGGTCACACGCGATCCGTGGGACGAGTCAGCGTGCGCAGCATGGCTGAGCGCCGTGATTGGTCGAGCTAGTTTCCACATTGGAGGCCAATTCAACGTCGGATACCGTACTTGTACTATACAGTACTTGGGAAGCAACAAAACCCGACACCCGAAAAATAGCCAGAGTTGAGCCCTCTAATCCCACCCAGCCCCAAGCCTCTTGCCTCGCTTTTCTGTTGAGGGAAAACATATAGGCTCATAAATTGTATCCTGTCTGCAGGTCGACAGATGCTCTACTCCGGTTGACCGTGCCGGATGAAACCCGGAATATCTCCTGAAAGTCGGTGTTTTGTTGAACCGAAGGTGTTCAACTGCGATAATTGGCACCTGGCCATCAACCCCAAATGACACCATGAACCCCCTAAAACCCGAACACGCGTTTCCGCAAAACCTCGCTGATATTTTCCCGGCTTAGGAACTAAGAGCCGAACCGCCGATGCGTCAGTCCGGATAAGGCTTCAGACAACGGGAGAAAAAAATGTCTCAGATGCTGCCGTAGGGCACATCGCTAGTGGTATGAGTGACACCCGTCACTCAGTAACAAAATGTCGGGTGGACGCTCAGCCCTGATGCAATGAAGCCTTATGCGTTAGGACATAACATTGAGAACTGGTTACGAATATCGGGGTCCGAAGGTTGCCTAGGCCGCTGGATTGCTATTGATCTTTTCCAACTATCTTTTTTCGGGTATTAGTCTGGGCATGCCAAACCACGAAATAACGACCTCCTAGGAATATACCGATACGGTAGCGGCGGTCGCCAGGATAGAGGTTCTACAGACAAGAAAACAATCTTGGACTCGCAGCAAGCAAACACAGGAGAAATCTTCAGGAAATCAAGCCGTTCATCTGCCGATATCGCTTGTTCCAGGAGAGGGAGGTAACACCCAGCAATAAAGAGAGGATTTGGGAGGCTCGTCTTTGGAAGTGGGTCGCTCGGGAATGTCGTACTCAAAAACCTCAATTCCTCTTTACGGTGAGCGGTCGGTAGTTTAGGTAGGTTGATTTGAGCCCAAGGTCCGCCACCTACCGCAGCTATCCCGCTACGGATACCAGAGCACCGGTTCTCGAGGTCCTCCTATGGAGACTTCCACGGCAGTCACCACTCGTTTGGATCGTCGTCGGAGCTCGGAGCCCGAATACTCGATCAAGCCGTCAGAGGTGAAAGGGGGGTCGCGGACCGGGGGTCGAACAATATCGTAGGGACAAACATCGCTAAACACGAGGGAAAGGATGGAGTAGGCAACCCCGCGCTCCGTCAATCCCATTCTCTCACCCACCGATGGAATTTCCCGAAAGAAAAACGGGGCCATTCAGAATTCCACGGCCTTCCACAGATTTCTGCCAAAGTCGAGCTGAGCGGAAAGCCTGCCAATCACCCACCGTACCGTGCCTTGAGTTTGTCCATCTATTTTGAGAGAAGGAGGAGGAATGGAGAGATGGAGAGGAGAAAAAGCTGAGAATATTCTCCCCCCCTCCACCACCCCCGACGAGCGATAAAGAGCATCCGCCCGCCCACCAAAACCCTCACCCGGCAACTGACAGGATGGTAACATAAGTCAAAGGGTACGAGCCAGGTGTGATCACACCCATCCATCCATAAACCCGCGAGTACGAGTAGTCTATCGGTGGTAGAAACAAGTTACCGCACGGTATTTAAGTTACACCTGTATAAACCTTCCGGTCTATCCGTATGGTATGTTATGGTGCGGTGCCACAGTAAGTGCTTACAAAACCCGGAGCGGATCACCGTGACAACGGACCAGAAAGCTTAGCAAACGGACCAAGGCACGACAACAAAATTTCCTCAGAGCAAGTTCCCCGGCTTCAGGTACCGTATTTTACGAAGAATATCAGGGGGGGTATCGGAGGGTCAGCTGGTTGGTCGGTTGGTCCTTTCGTGCCTTGATTCGTGGATAGACCAGCCCGATCACACTGCATACCACCTCCACGTCTGTATTTGTGAAACAAACAACCCAGACCTGCAGGTATCATTGGAGTGGGCGAGTGAATCGGGCGGAGCATTTGCCGCCAGTCCGCCCATCATCCATTCATTCACATATACTCGAGTGCCGTGGTTGGGTTTGGCATACCTTGTGTGGGCTGTTACCTGTGGTCCAACATGCAACACCACATTGCCTCACAACCTATTAAGTGAGAAGTAAATAAGATTTTTTTTTCCAGGTATAGAGGGATGGACAGGCTCAGGGCAGGTCTAGCATCGGGGCTTTATTATTTTCTGGGGCGTAATTCTAGAGCTACGGTATAACATCGCTGTGTTACCATACCCGGTTTGCGAACCCATGCTCAAGCTCGCATAAGACCTGATCAATACCGTATGTGGGACTACCGGTATATACCTGGTGAATTGCGTCCCCATTACGGTACTGTACACACTCTACTTCTAACACCATACGGGTACCGGTATAACCATAACATGAGATATAACCCCAAATTAGATCAAGAAGAAAAAGAAAAAGAAACACCGCCACGAAGCCACACTAAGAGAGTCGGCAGGAGAAAGGTGAGCAAAAAAAAAAATGTAGGCAAACCCCCCAATTAACCAGGAACAATGAGAGAGGAAATGGTATATAAAAAGGTAAAAACACCCAGACATGACCTTCAATGCTCCATTCCCAAACCGGCACCGTGCTGAGAAACGTGGTCTCACCCTTTTTGAAAACAGTTATGAAAGACATAAAAGAAAAGAACCATTCTGGCCTCAAGAAATCCCGGCCCCGAAAAAACCGGGCCCAAGCGGAAATAGTATGATAGGGAGGGGCACGGAATATCCCTCCATTAACTTTCTAGAGGGTGGAGCATCAGCAAGAGCACGTATATCCAAAGCACTGAATGCTTGCTCTCAGGCAGCGAGAGGGGGAGCACCCTGATCCCCAGGTAGGGATGCACCCCCGTTCCGGTGGAAAAGCTGAATGAGCTTCCTGCCCACATTCTCCTCTAGTTCTGTTCCGTCACGAGCAATCTTTACCTCTCTATTCGCGTTCCAAATATTCCTCAAGCCTCTTGTTCGATAAAATGGCACTCGGGTGGTAGAAATCCACTCAACTCTGAAAGGCTTGCCCCAAGACTTTGCGACAGCAACAGAGCTTTCCTCAGGGCCACCGTCCTCCTCGCTAGTAGAGGCGACGGGGTCTGGAACTTCGTCATTTGATATTGCCTCCCAGAATATAGTGCCTCTCGCAGAGTCATCAATTATCCGGCCCTGGGGAGCCAGCGCGGTTGCTGGAGTGTATATCGCCCGTGGCAGATCTGAATCCTCGCGAGGCTGTGAAGATGGGGTCCATTCTAATTCCGTTGCGTCATCCAGAATTGGGGAAGTCATCCTTGCATACCCGTAATATTCACCTGACTTGTTTGCTGAAAATATTAGATAGACGTTGTCTGCTGTCTATTCAATCAGGATGGGATTAGTCACGGGTTTCTAGAAAAGAGAAGAAGGAAAGAGTTCTGGGGTTAGATGTTACCTCAAATGCCTGATTTAAAATGGACTCGTTATGACTTTGAGTTGCCCAGATCCCATTTCGTACACTCAGGTCGAGATCCTCCACCGTGAGGCTTTTGACGATGAATATGCGGTCCTTTCCCACGCTCCTAGTAGTAACCTTTGGCCCGACTGGGGGGCTTCTACCCCGGTCAGCCCTATCCTCCCCTACCTCGCCAACGCCTGGTGGCTCGTCACCACTGCCTTGAACCGAGTGAGCTGATGTGTCTGGCGATGGTATCGATGCCACTGCGCTGGCAGCAGCAGAGGGTGCAGAGTTCCTTCTCAACCTGCAAACTAGCTTTGCGTTGTGAAACCTCGAGTCATGGAACCTGGCCATTGCCTCACTACAGGCTTCTTCGGTCCGGTAGTTCACAAAGGCACAGTTACTCTTTGATATCAAAAATACGCTCTCAATGTCATCCTTTGCATCTTTTGAGAAGTATTCCTTCAAGTCTACTACCCGGGTCCCAGTCGGCAGATTGCCTACCCAGAGCGCATGGCCCGACTGCTTCGGCTTTCGGGGAGGCCCTCGTGGGAGAGATGGGTGCAGTACTGATGATGGAGAGGGCAAAGAAGAATCCAATGTTCCGGGTGTCGTTACGTTTGTTGAAGCTACTGGAGTTTCCACTTTGCTGTTAGACTGGGGAAGAGCAAGCTATGGAAGAGGGGTTTCGGAAAAGGGTAGCTGTTCTCACCAGGGCCTCTTGCTGAATTCCCAGAGTATCCACCCGCTGTAGCATCCCCCCCACCACGAACTCCAATCCCAGCACCCCCTGCTGCAGCACTTGTTGTTCTGCTACCCCAACGCGGTACTACCGGATGCCAGGTCCTGGCCGCTTCTGAGTCTGACCCTCGCCGATTAGATGGTGACTGCCGCAGCGGGAAACTATGACGCCTAAGACAAGGGTCTGGTGGAGCTTGACCCAGGAGTGGCTGCGAGGGCTGTTGGGACAGAACTTGGTGTGCGACGTACTGCGGGGACATAGGGAAATACGGGCTCATTTGAAGCCCGTAGTAAGGCGGGAACTGTGCTTGCGCAGAGCCCATGGATTGCAGGTAATGGGGAGGGTGATTGGAAGCATAGGAAACTGCATAGGTGCTCGACCGCACCTGGGCCTGTGCATCCTGATGCTGTGGGAGGACTTGTGTGTATTGCTGGCCACAAGAATCGACAAGAGTATATTGGTATCCGGGAACAAAATATGTGCTATTCTGTGTTGGAGAAGCCGGGCCTCCGTGGTACTGATACGCCATTCCTGCCGGATGGTACCCCGTTTGCCATCTTTGGCTATTGTTAGGAGGAGTATGTGTCCCGTGTTGCGATATTTGAGGGTGGGGGGGTAAAGACCGTGGAACGATTGCACCATTGTGTATGGCTTGGACAGGGTGGCCATGTGGGGTGGAGTGTGATCGTTGTGATAAGAATGGGGGGGGATGTGGGTATTGGGGCTGACTAAAGCGGTATCCTGGGGGTTGCTGAACTAGCAGGGCTGTCATTCCTAAAACTCCTGCGACAGGATGAGACGTAGTATATGGATCTGGGTTCGTGGGGAGGGTCGTAGGGGGTTGTTGTTCGGATGCAACTCTCTGTTCCTGCGCCTTGTATCCTCCCGGGGGCGTGGATGATACTATTAGATTGCGCGTAGGTCCACCAGGCTGTTGCGCATCGCCCATTGGGTATCTCGAGCCTCTGCTAAGGGTACTAGTCAGATAAGCACAGGTCTTGCGAGATGACCGGATCGAGCAATATCTATAAAGAAGTTGATTGAAAAAAGGAAAGGGAATAAAAAGCAAGACAAAAAAGGTCAACTATTACATACCGGCGGCTGAGGAAAAAAGAAAAAAAGAAAAAGAAAAGAAATGGAAGGGGGAAGATTTGGAGCACAGACACGAAATGGGGAAAAGTGGAAAGCTAGAAAAATAAAATAAAACCTAGGAACACGGGGATAAGACTAAAGGAGAGGGTGAGAGGGAAGGGAAGGGGAAAAAAAATCAGTCACGGGCGATGATGATCAAGGCGGGCGGTATATGTCGATAATATTGTCTTGGTAGAAAAATGCGCAAAATAAGTGAATGAGGAGATATCCAGCGCACGTACCGAGCCTATTTATCACAAAAAGCTACTTGCGATGTATTTTCCGCGTTTCTATTGCAACGGCGGGAGCCTAGGGGTTGCAAATTGAGTGTGACAATCTTTATGGTATAGGACCCCGCAGTCAACCAAAGGCTGTTGACGGTGAGCCAGATAAGATTTTTCTTTTAAGCCAGTTGGCCGAGTTGAACTGCGGGGCGGAATGGAAGGGAGGCACAATGGGATATGTCTCGAGAGGTATCAATATAATACTAAGACATGGCCATCCTGTTTCGGGAGGGAGGTAGAAAATGCTGGTGCATACCGTACTCACTTTTTCTCTACCCTTCTATCCTTTCCCCGTTTTGAGTCCTCCTCTTTTAAAGTGTTTTATTCGGGCTAGCCTTAGGGAAGTTTACCTTCCACCCGTAACAACAAGGTTGAGAATCCGAGAGCGGAGCTAGGACTATGACTGGGATTGAAGGAGAAGCTTTGACCAGATTTTGTTTGGGAAGCGTGGGGGTGGTATATCCGAATAAATTTGTAAAGGATCCCGAGTGTGCGAGAGCATAGAATAGCCAAGAGAGAAAGAGAAAATAGTAGACAGATGAGGCACCGATAGGCCTTGCGAGGGGATCGAAAAAAGAGACAGCGGGGAAACCCTCGAGAAGATGAATAGTGGGTCCAGGCTGCCAGGAACCTGCTCCGGGAAGTCTTTAAAGCTTGGCAAGGGTCTTCGACCAGCAGCTTTGGGAGGGTTGGAAGCCCTCCGCACAGCCGCCCCACTAGGGGTACGGTTGGGTTGAATGATGAGCGGAGGGATATAAGGGTTATCGGCAGTGGCGAAACCGAAGCCCAAGTTCCCGGTTGGATTGGGGGGGGGGGGAAGAGGGCGGGTGGTACGAACTTTGTAGGGAATCCCTTGGGCAATCAGGTACGGTACCTATGAAAAAAAACGAAAAGAAAAAAAAAATGAAAAAAAAAATAAATATAGCAGGCTGCTACGCCGGAAGAGGTGCGTTTTCTTTGGCACTCGAGCGCAGAGGAGGCAGTGGTAATAATAATAGTGATAATAAGCCACTTGCAGTAGCAATAAACGGGGAATCGGGGAGGGGGAGCAGGATATTTGGCGGGATGGAGGAAAGGAAGAAGCTAGTGGAGATTATAAGGAACAAACATAGATGTTGAAGGCGGCCAGAAGATGGGGAGAATCAGCTTCGGATTCAATGGGAAGAAGGAGGTTGACTTGAGAGTATTTTTGCCCTCTTGCGAATCCCTTGATTCAACGAGGTGAGGCTGAAAGAAAGAGAGGAAAAGTGGGAGAGAAAAAAAGGAAAAAAGGGTGAAATACCGTACCAACTCACATGCCTGTGATTCGTAACTATTGCTCAAAAGTTGCGTGGGTGGTGAATCGCCATGCGTGATGGATAATGAGTAGGAAGAAGGGATAAGAGCAGGGTGACGGTTCAGGACGCCACGGAAGGGGAGGAGAGAGGAGTAAGCATCGATTGCGCGGCTTGCCCTGTATGATATACTCGGACGAACAAATGACCTCGGGGTAGGACGAAAAATCAGGACAGAGCTGGGGGATGGTTTTCAGGTGGAGGGAGAGGTGTTGGATGGATTCAGATTTGGGTTGCAGGGAGCAGGAACATGTGTAGCGATGGTGTCGAGCATGATATGGCAAGCTTACTCCACGGGAAACGAGGCACAATGTGTGGTGAGAAGGGATAGGGTAGGGACGAGCTTCGTGCAAGCCATAAAAGTGTCAAGGTAGACTATGTACAAGCACCGTACCGTAGCGATAGTCTGCTACCGGTATCCCGCCATCATACTTCAGCATCCTATACCGTATCTTACTCTACGCCAAAAAGGGACTAACCCACGCGCGGGAATCGAGGATGTGGCGAGTGAGCACAGAAGCGCTAGGGCCTTTTTTAAATTCCCGCCGCGGGGATTGGTTGGACTTCTGCGGACCCGCGGTGTTGCAGGTGTCGAAGGCGTCAACGACGGGGAGCCAAAGAAAAGATCTTGGTCTTGATACAGTGCGCTACCTTTACCTGGTCGATCAGCGGGCGTGTAGATGTGAAGGGGCACCGTAAATTACTGTGCTCGTACTGTACCGTATTGGGATTGTAGCCCACCCCACGGTATTCAGGCTACGGGGAGAAGGGATAGAGATGGGGGAACAAAAAAAGAGGCAAGGAAGGGAAACTGGGGGAAAGGAAAATCACACGTGTAATCAATAATAGTAAAGAACCCTCCATCTCCATCCCTGCCAGCGTTCGCCTGGGAGCACAAGGTAGTACGGTATTAGATAATTATCCATGATTACGGTGGTGGCCAACCTAACAATCGTGGGACCAGGCTGCCTCTGTGCAACCTACGGTAAACCACACAATTACTCCCCCCCCTTCCTTCTCCTAGAGAAGAAACCCGAAGGGTCTGCAGTCTATGGAGCGCAAAATGGCCGCTTAACGCTATCCTTCCTCCAAGAAGGTGCAGCCAACACCCCACCCATCCTCTGTCCTGGGATATGTTCCCGGGGAGCGCGAGGCTGGCTGAACCCCCACGGGTGGCGTTTCCCGCCGAAAGGGAAAGACCCACGCCTACCCTACAGCACCTACGCATCGAGCCGGGCAGATCCCAAGAAACCCAACCTGAGCCCCTGCATGAAAGTGTACTCGAGTACCGTACAGTACTCGCACTGTATGATTAAGGGATATGGTGCATGCTCATGTGCCAATTACACAGGCGAATTGATAGCGCCATCCGAATAGAGCCTATTGGGATGGGAGGAGTGCGGTAGGGCACAACACGCTGTGGCACATGGCGCACAGAAAGAAAGAAGGGGGTTCCCTTGTACTGTATGATACCGGTATCAGAGGTGCCATCGAGTATCATAGCGCACACCGACTGCTCCATGTGCAGTAAAGGGAGAGGGAGTCCACCGAAACTGCCGGTACTCGAGCACACTAGGCCGCACGAGGCAACGCTCTACCAAAATTCGGCCCCTCCCCCTTCGAAGCATAGATCGTGGGATGATATCCTCTGCGGACCCGATGAGTTCGAGTCCATTCGACATATCATGGTTACGATCACGGTACCATGCGTTGCCCAACCGAAATCCCCCTAGGGGAGCACGAGCGGTGGATACTGCTCCGCGGCAACCCCCTGCGGGTTCATAAAACGTGAGCCCGAGGAGGGGGAAAAGGAGGGGACGAAGTATTATCGATCAAAAAAAGAGAAGAAGGAAAACGCTCCATCTACACAATGGATCGGGCCAAGGTCCGAGAGCGGCGTGCAAAATAAAAATTAAATTATACTCCAAGAGAGAGAGAAATCCTTCTAGAAGACATGCATTGACCGAACAAGCGCCCCAGGATCCGTCTCTGTTTTTGTTTGTTCTCTTCCGGGACATTTCTTTCCCGGCGATGGGCCGTTGAACTGCTGCGGTGGTTCAACTGCGGTGTGTTGATAGAATGCCCGTCGCAGGGTGCGGTGCGGTGCGGTGCTACCGGTGGTACAGTACCTGTACAGTGCAGCACAGGGGCCCCAGGGGCTATCATCCCCTACTGACCATAACCGGCACGATACGAGTGGAGAGTTTGGTCAAGTATCACCTACAGTAGTTGGGTGGAGGAGAGGGACGGGAGAAACAGCAGGATTTCTTGCCCGAATTTCCCGCCGCTCGTTCGGCCGCGGTGGTGGACAAGTATAGTAGCCAATGACCCAATACCTTAACGCTGATGATCCGGTTAACGGGGCAGCGGGCATCTCTAGAATTGAGAATTGGGATGAAAGAATTTGGGGGGGGGGGGGGGGCGGATCCGGAGGGAAGAAAAGGAGTGAAAAAAAAATAGAACAATGAAGGGGAAAAGAGAGTCTATCCGAACGGAACGCAACGGAACAAGAATGAACAAGCACCCAATTGGCTGTGTAGGTTAAGCGGTGTACAAGTAACTTAGAAGGAACGACACCCACCAATCCTCCTCTGTAGAGAGGACATCGCGATAATCTGCCTCCCAGAGCATGACACCGCGTAGAACAAAATTCTTCACAGCGCGATGAGCGTGGCAACAAATACCGTATCCCCATCGAAACAACTCGATTGGCTCATCCCACGATATCCACAATACAGTACACGTATTGCCAAGACTATTTATTGTGCTAGTACGGTATAGTACGGTACGTAACCCCCTTCCCTCACATAGCAAGACCTACTCACAAGTACCGGCGCTTAGGGTATGGTACCAGAAGGCTACCACCGGTAGACTGCGAGCACTAGTACAGTACGTACAAAGGAGCGGTACCGAACCCGCCGCCTTACGGCCGGACCCCGGATCCGCCCCATGTCGCCATCACACCCCGAACATTCGAATCATTTTATTTATATAGCTGAATAAGGGATAACCACAATTCACCCCTTCTATCTACCCAGGGATGGTCTGGCGTGCTACCGGGGCTACCGTACTCGTAGGGTCGAGAGGTGTTTCCTTGTTTTTTATCATCAGCGAACCGTGCAAGCAAGCAAGCAAGCAATCAAGGGGAAATATACCGACCCCACCTCTCCTTCCGCGCAAAAAGGTGCCAAATTCTTGAAACCCCATTGAGGCGCTGACATGGAAATCTTGGTTTTTGATTTTTCCCCTTCTGTGGGACGGCACGGCGGGAGCTGGGAGTTTGCACCGCACTGTATCGTACTCGAGATACCCGAGTACCGTACCGGTATAGTACTTCGCAGCACGGGCACGAGCGGGTTGGTTGGTCTGCTGGGGACTAGCCGGGTAACCGAAACTTGAATTTCCCGGTATGATACTTGCTTGGAATGCGTTCAGTTCTGCAGGGTGGAAAACTTGATCCGCGGCGGGTGGCGAAGGGTTATCGGCGGGGAAGAAGGGGAGGCACTTGGATCGGACTTGGTGGGGAAGAGGAGAGGGGTGGGAATTCAGATGGAGCGAGAAAATGAGCAAAATGCATTGAAGCGCAGTGTTCTGCGGCAGGGCGTGCCGGAGGGTACCGGTTACCTCTTTTGCTGCAGTACGGGTACTTTATGCGCGGTGCAGAGGGGTATGATACAAGTAACTTATGGGTGTGTGCTACCGTAATGGAAATCCCTGGGAATAGGGGCGAGGGTGAAACGGGAATGTTGGGATGGGGATTTGGTCTTGTCGAGACCTGCGGGCTCGTCTTCTTTCCTGGTCTTGCCTCCGGTGCGCGGGGCGGTAAGTTAGGTTGACTGGGTTCTGATGCAGCTGTGCATTTTCAGTGGAACTCCGAGGAGGTTTGAGCAGAAGGATCCACAGTGCGGATTTTGGGCCCGTGATAAAGTTACGAGTAGGGATATGGTAAAGGCAAAAAGAAAAATAGAATTGTGCTGGTTGCTGGTATTCTAGTCGAATAGAGCTGCGATGTGAGTGAGTGCGCAGGTGATCGATTCATCGTCATAAGCAGATTCCCAAGCCATCCCATAAGTTATCTGGGTGGGAATGAAACGAAAAAAAAAAAAAAAGCAATGTTAGTGTAAAGAGAGGCCTTCGAGATGCCGCTTGCCATCTGGTCGGGATTCCCTTCCAGATCGAAAGGGATTTGCTGTCCTGAATACGGTACTCGAGTGCTCGAGTACCGGCACCCGGCATTGTGGGCCACCGAATCAGGGCCCCGGTGAGTCAGCCCCTTGGGGGCATCGCCATCTCTGAGGGTGGGAAGAAGGAGGGAGCGATCGGTTCATGTCGAGTGTCTGATGAGCGGCATGTATGCATATCAAACAGGTTTCCCATCTTAAACTCGCATTCGGCAGCATGGCATGAGAGGGCAGATGCGAAATTTGGAACCTTTTTTTTTTTTCAAGCAAGCCGAGGCGTGCAGCCGCAAAATTGCTCGGTAAAATAAGCGAATCTTGGAAAACTGTGGCAAATGGATAAGCTTAACTTGATCCCTTTCCTGTTTCCTTTTTCTGGGCCCCCCCCCTTTCCGCCCTGGGGCGTTGGAAAGAAGTGGCGATTGCTGGGCGCCCCCCTTGCGAGCAGCTGGCCAAGACCTCTTCTCAGGGCCACATCGGCTAGGTTTGCCCTCGATCACTGCGTGGCCATTTTAGGCGGGATAGGCCCGACTCCTTGGCCACTTGGAAGGGAAGGCCCTCACGATGCGGATTTTTTTTTTTTGTGCGGGTGTGGGCCAGAGTTACGGCAAACCGCGGGCTTCAATGGTGGGGCTTCCCCCGGGTTCTCTGGTATGAAGGAGGAAAGATCATTGCGTAAGGGCGAGGCTGACGGAAACGAGCCACGAATCGCCCGCACTGTGGTGGCGAGGGCGGGAGATCTCGGTAGTCCTACGGTGGGTACAATGTCTTGGGCACACTGGTCTCGGCGATGCGTGCTTATTATTGGTGTGCCTGACAACAACCACAACTCACCGGATCCCTGGCCGCCGGGCTTGGGAAGCTCCGAACGCAAGTTAAGTTACGATAACAATCATCTCAACCCTTACTCCTACAGTATGTGTGGCGTCGGGAGCCTTACACTACGGCATTGCCTTTTTAGGCAATACGGTAGCCAGATAACCGCTTGTTGATGGGTGTGTCCGTTTTTTTTGCTGCCACGGAGGCGAGCACGCGGTCGAGCTGGAAAGTTATCGGCCGCGTCAGTTGCGGCTGAAAGGGAAAAAAAAAGAAAAAGAGAGGGTAAAAATGTGAGTTCAGAACACCCTATGCTGCCTACGGTATAGACTACCGCTGTGATGGATGAAATGTGGAGAGAGTGCTAACACTGCACGATACGTAGGAGCTGTCATAAGGGATTAAGGTTAGGGTACCAGAGAGCTCCCCCTGATACTTCTCTAAGGGATCGGCAATGCTTTGTGCTTGAAACGTCACCACTTTCGTCCGATGATTGGGATTTTGGCAAGGCTCGACAATTTTCAGCTGGGGTGAGTTCGGAAGATGAGTTCGGCTTTCTGGCTTGACATTTGTTAACCTCTACCGGACTGAGGTCACAGGCTGTGAGCACCGAACGGTGGAGCTGCGAGTGAATGCCAGCCCCGGTTGAGTGCTGGCAACGGTGCGTACCCCAACCACGGTTTATCGTACTGGTGCTATACGCAATCGTCATATCATACCACGACCAATTCTTTTTTTGATTTTTTTCCCCATCTACCCACATTCTCTTCGGAGGATTTGGAAACTATGGCCACCATCCGCAAGGTGCTCCCCTTTGCCCTTTTGGCTGGCCGTTGTCCCGGTGCTTCTTCACAATTGGCACTCTGAGACACGCTTGCTTCTGCTACCTTCTGGATGGCCGACATTGAGCGAGTGAGAGAAAATGAACCAATCGTCTTCTCCCAAATAGAGGTGACAGAAAGATAAACGGTGGAAGCGAGCTGGGATTGGATTGGATCCCTGTTGGGAATGGTCCCCCTGTTTTTTTCCCTCACATTGATTGAAATTCATTGATGGTTGCTGGGATTTCGCCTGCTGGATATCATGACACTGCTTACAGCGCCGCTTTAGCCAATCAACTAGGAATGGAGCTGCTGGAGCTGCGCAAGGATTTTTTTTTTTCAGGTAGGGCTACTCTTGTTGGTTAGGTGCCGGTTTATCTACCTTTTGCATCTTGCGAGTGCTTTTACATCCGTCACAGGTAATTGCAGACTAGCAGCCTGATAAGTGATGCGATCAGCATTGAGGGTTGAGCATTCGATTTCATGGAATATGGTTCTGTGACAGGCACCGGCAGCGGGGTGTTGATCCGACTTTTCGGAGAGCATACCGATTGTAAGGGGAACTTTGGTTTGACGGTTGAAGCTTTCCGGCGAGAAAGTGAGGCGCGGGCACTTTGTGTGTATGCTTTTTCGTTCGCCTTCTATCCAAAACACTCTGTCGGAGCTTATGGCCCAGCTCAAAGGGCCTCCCTCCACTGCTATTCGTCGGGCATCAAACGAGATACCATCTTGGCGGGTTCGCAATGGCGCTGGTAATAGGCGGCATGTGGATACTGTGTGCCATCTATCGTATTGCCAGCCTCTACGCGGCATGCCTGTGTTTGTCAAGCCTCTCCCTTCTGCTCGGAGCACGTCATCTTTTACCCACAGCGCTTGCCCGTTATCCTCTAGCTGCCATGTGGGAGAGTCAGTGATGGTCCTGATGTGTTTTCTTTTCTTTTCTTTATTTTTACTGGGTTTTCTCGCAGTCTTGCTGGGCTCCTCCTTTGCGGAACCCCGTGGATGCGCGCTGTGGGCGATGATTTTTTTCTTTTCTCCCCCCGATATTATATCCCTCACCGTGAGTATCTTTCCTTTTTTCTTTCCCTCAGTTCTACTGCTCCTGGCTTACAGATTTGTTGACGTTATCAATCGGCTAACCTGGCAGTGGAGCCGGGTGGATGCTCAAGTTCAACCCCTTTGGCTCCAATCAACATCTTTGATCCTGAACTTTATTCAATGGGCCCCTCATAAATCTGTCTCATAATGGGTCTGACTTGCTGCTTTTGTTAAAATTGATGGGCCTCGATATGTCAACTCAGTGTCCCGCCTCTATTCGGGCAATCTCTTTGGCAACTTGGCTCGAAATTTCTATAAATGTTACACGACGGTTGATGCATGTCTTTCCTATCATCCCTTGGCGGTTATTAGTTTTGTGTGGGCTATCGAGGAAGCTCACAACTGGTCATGCGGGCAGGTCTGAATATCCCTCACTCGCACCCTCACCCTCCCCCGGACGGAATCTAGGACCTGGGATATCCTGGTCGGTTTTTATGAGTATTAACCTGCACTTCCCCCTCAGATTCTGCTGCCTCGCTTGTGTGGGAGCAGGTGCACCCAACCGGTAGCGCTACCTGGAGCCCCCATACCCCCCGAGCTGTCACACTTGCTCAAATTTCGGCAGGCCGCCCTCGGTGCTGCCTGTGACGGAGGTCAATGATGCTACGGCTGGGTTGCTTTGTGGTGTCTGTGGGGAAACTTCTAACAGGGATTTCGTATTTGATTAGTCTCCTTTGTTGTGTAGGGGTAGGCTTGAACTGACGGTTGGACTCGTGTACGTGATCTTGGTCCATCTGCAAATATCATTCCAACAATTGCTATTGGACCAACATGGACTCCCTGTCCATGGCTTGCCTGCATAGCGAACTCTGTGAGTAAGCGGAGGATCGGAGGCATGATATGCTCGTACCGGCTCGTGGTATGGGTGATGTCTAGTATGCAAAGTCTGGAGGTATAGGGTGTAGAGGCATATAACTTGACGCCTAGCTCAATTGACCTCCCATAACGACTTGGTCCATCTGCTCATGCGAATCAGTGTAACTGCAGCTGCGGAGGGGTTTGGGTTTGAGGAGGATAGTGCATTTGCGGCCCAATAGCTATAGGAAGAATCGCTACTATTAAAATTCGATGGGAAATTCTATTGGAGCTATATCTAAACGAGGCGCTAGGGCAATTGCCCCCCCCCCCCCCTCTTTTATCCTTTTCTTGCAATTCTTCTAACAGACTGCTTTGGCGGGCTCACATTTCCAAAGAGTCTACCTCGTCACATTGGGGTTACCAGGGCCTCGGACTTTAGAGACGGTATTGTCCTAGCTCTCTTTTTACGGGCCTTATATCGCATGATCCTGTTTTTCGATGCTTTGCTTTTGTAGAATTCCTTTTTGCGCGGAAAGATCGGGGATCGAAAACTTTTCGTGCTAGAGATCGCCTAGGTTATCTTACGGATTGATACTCACCCGCTCCGGGAACTAGGAATTTTGAACGATCCTGAAATATCCAACTGCAGGGGTGAGCTAAACGAGAGAGAAACAGCACAGCTTGCATGCGTATTCGTGCCTCTTATCTCTATTCGTACTCCCCTCCCTTGATCATTTCAGATAGATGAGCGCGGCTCACATGGGTTGACAAATTATACTGTGAAAACACGGAAATTCAAGTGGAGTTAAATAGTTCTAGTATTAGCCGTGGGTCGCTAGATAAGCTCCTTGTGGATATAGAGTTTCTAGATTGATGTGCGTGAAACCGTAAGGTCCGAATCAATGCAGTGCCGATAAATCAAGACAACCCCACTACAACCGAGCGGTCAATCAGAATAAGGTTCTCTCTCCCCAGACTGCGGATGCCCGACCGATGTGTCGAATCCATCTACCGTATTCTGGCGCGCACACTGCTGATTCCATTGTATCGTAGTGTGCTGATCACCGTAAGGTTATTGCTCTCCCGCAGTTGGCTCTGCAAACCACCTTATATCTCTGCACCCATCTCGCCTCTCATGATTGCCTTGCGGGAGGAGGGGTTGGTGGGATCCGGGGGAGGCTTGAGCGTGCGGCATCGTACGGTTTGGAGTATATATCTCTGATCACCGTGTATCATATTGTGTAATTTAGGGATATATTGCCCCGGGTATCGTGCGAGCTCGGATAATTTTGTTTTGTTCCGGTTGGGCTGAGCTGGTTGAGTGCGGTGAGTGGTAGAAGTTTATGGGAAGGAAGATGTACAAGTTTTCCCTCGTTTCCAGTTCCCATCATCAAGTCGTTATTCTTTCACATGACTGCTCGCAAGCTATCAAGCGTGTGGCGTCTGGGGGGGGGGGTTGGCAGGTACGGATGGGCAGTCGTCGTGCGGTATGTATTAGCACTAAACCCGGGAATGCCACTCCACCCACCGAACGAGAGAGAGGGAAAAAAAGACTGATCCCGACGCGGAAGGAATCAATCATGCTGGGGGGTATTTTTTTGAAAATGAATCATGGAAGATCACTCGCTAGATTAGTTGAGTTTGGTGATTTATCCGCCGAACAGACTGGTTCCCTTTCGATCAGTTTCTCATTCTTGGTATCATACTTTCCTCACCACTCTCTTTAACGTTGAGTTTTTTTCTTTTCTTTTTTCATTTTTTTCATTCATCTCTTCTCCGTTTTGTCTGGCTCACGATTTGCACGGCTGACCATGCTATATTTTCAACTACGGTAGACTGATTGTTGCTTTTTCTTCTTCTCGTCGTCGGCCACGGTCCTCCCGAGGTCCTTGTAAGTTCTCTTCTCTTCTCCGCCGTCCGAGGCCTTTTTTGGGTTCTTCCTTTTCATCCTTTTCTTCTGAGGGGTTTTCTTGTTACCGACATTGCTCGGGTTTCTGATATTTCTTTTCAGTTCTTCGGTTCAGAACGGAAAAAACATACTGTGGCGTGTGTTGGCAAGAAGGTTAAGATTCTTTCTTTCCTTTCTCGACAGCGGTCGTATCGATTCATGAGATTATTCTAAATGGCTCTTGTCAACCGACCCAGTCTGGGATGTGAAAGTTGGCCGAGTGCATAGGAGAATGGGGTGAAAAAAAAAAGAGATAGAAAGGGGAAAATGCTCTCTATATGCTGAAATGCTACCGTGAAGAGCTTTTCTTTTCTCTTGTTATTAGTGCTGTTAAGGTACTCGTACAGTACAGTACAGTACTCTCCCGTACGAACATCCCCATGATTGGAGAATTCTAATATTGTGGGGTTTATATTGCTGATTAGGGTATCATACTTACTGTCTGCCCGGTTAGTGGAATCGCGAAATTAAATAAATGAATAGATAAAGCTTGGTAATCTTCCTGGAGATGGGCGGGCAGACAGACGGACTGACGTCCCTGAAAAAAGGATCATCTGGAGTAGTACCTCGCGGTTCTACTGGGGGGCAAGGGGTACCGTTAGTCTACTCGTTTCCACCTGGTAAGGCGAAGGCACAATAGGCCTCGAGAGTGTGTATGTGGGGTGGTTTTGCGTGTCGGAATTGCATTGTCTGGGGAGGGGGGGGGGGGGGGGGCAGATTCTGTTTTGTTTTGGGGAGTTATGAGTAAGTAATATTGGATGGGAATGGTCTGGACTTTATGTCTTGATATGATAATTTACCTACATTTAATGGTGCATCTTTTGTTTTCTTTTCTTTTTTTTTCCCCGTGCGCTAAGTCTGAGTCTGTGCTGTAGATATGGGTTTACTCGGGGGATTTGCTGGGTGCTGTTGCCTTGACTAGTGCCCGGGGTACTGTACAGTAAAGTACCTGCTTGCTGTCGGGTTTGGTATCATACTGGTGTCCGGGGGTAGTACTGGTGCGCTTGTTGTGCCGTGCAGTACTGGGCACTACGTACTCGAGGAAAGGGTAGGGCTTGATTTGATGATTGCCATGATAATGTCACAACATATATCGGGATGTATGAATCTGGGGGGGGGTTCGGGTATTGCTTTTGTGGTACTTCCCGGCGGCGGTGCGCTTGGCTTTACTAAATTTACTACTACTGCTGGTAGGTAGGTATTTATTGATATAAGTTGTCTTGGGAGAAAGTTGGTGTATATCCGCACTTTGGGGTGCTCTGGTTAGCGCATGCGTCTAGAAAGTTCCCGGGGTTGTGCACTACAAGCGTTGGGGACTTGGGAAGCCTGCGAGGGAAGATGAGCGGGGGGGGGGTATATCGTGTTGGTTGTGATTTTCAATGGTGGAGAGCGGAAGGGAAATTTGTGATTTTCCATGGTGTTGGTATTGATGGGGAGGAAGGTTTCTCTCACAAGGCTGTATATGGGTGGGTGACGGGGGATAATATGCGGCGGGAAGGAAAGGAGAGAATTAGGTCAGTCTCTGTGAATCACGCGCTATGGACTCTTCATAGTTGACTCCTGCGGAGCGCCCGCCCCCATGTGTATATCGTGTGCGCTAATGTATGGTTCGTTTATATGTCTATGGTGTCTCCAGCAACCCTCTTATAATGCGACACGGTTGCTGCTAAGGGTATACATAACTGTCTATCCGGTGGTCGAAACCAAGTTTCAGCAGAAAATTTGCAACTCTCACTAAGTCTCACATAAGTTACCTACTCCTAAGAGCCATTTGGAGCCGTTTTCGGTCCTTCTTAGCTGCTTTATTGGGATTGAGATCATCCAATCCCTGAAGTATCCTTAAGGTGTGGGTCAGGAGAGCTAAGTTTGGCTATTGTCGGTGTCGGTAATGCTAGGATTGGCGCCGCTCCGTTCTAGCAATATCCTCACGACCCCCTCGTGCCCATTCTCGGCAGCCCACCCTCGGGAGCGGTGATTGGCCCCACTTATCCGCTTTGTTGGGGTTGGCGTCGATTTTTTTCAGGTACCATCCTCATGACCCCTCAAACTCATTTCTAACAGCCCATGAGAGTAGTGACCCGCCATATGTCGCGCGGGATTAGTTCGAATTGAAGTCGCTCCGTTCCGAAGTATTCTCACAACCGCCTCATGGCCATTCTCGGTCGCCCATGGGGGTGGCGATAGACCCCACTTGTCCCCTTTGTGGAGGTCGATGTAGTGGTGTTCCAGCAACATTCCCGCCGCCTCATCTTGCCCTCTTCTAGCAGCCCAGCCGAATGCAGGGTTACTGTTGCAGCCAGTTGCTTGCACCTCCCATTTATTCATCACTAATAAGATAACTGTTACCTCTACGCATCAAAGGTATGAAGCACCATGGAGTCCTGTGAATCCTGTAGTGGCGTCTGCCCGATCAAAAGGCCGGTCCCAATAGTCCATCCCATACAATAACAGCGTTTTCGAAGATATGTGCTTACCGTATCCGTCGGGCAGAATCCGTGCAAGCTTCTTCACACTTTCGGCTGTTTCCCGTCTGGCATAACTTATGTGCCTTAGTAACAAGAAGCGTATTCGACAAAAGGGAGGGTTGGTGGCCCCGAAGGGAGAGTACGCGAAAGGCCGTTGATTTACCGAGAGCTTAGATAGGCCTCCATAGTCATTGAGTGGGGGTTAAGAAATAGGTCGGGATTATCGAAGAGTCACCCCCGCAGAGTATAGCGGACAAGGCAGACGGTTGATGGGGCGGACCCTGGAGAGCATGCTAGTAGTGTTACTATTATAGGAA